TAAATACCTTTCATTACCTATCATCTTAGGCCTTGCACAAATATAAAAGACAACCAGGGATTAAATAACAAAAAGAAAACACATGTATTCGAAAAGTAAACAAACCTATCAACCATTTTGGCAATTTGCCTGTCCGAAAAACCTGCTTGTTTAGCCTCAAGGAGAAGTTCAGGAGACAACGTCATCAACTGAATTTCCAATAATAATCAGTATTACTTGACTATAATCACTCAAATATTTCTCCTACCGTTTCCTTCAGCAGCTTATGATATATGTCCACGATATTGTGCATCCTATATAGGAACCATCTATCGATATGTGTCAGGGCGTAGGTTTTCTCGACGTTGAAATCGCCATAGAACATACCACGAGCGATTGCAAACATACGTTTGTCTGTCGGATTTGAAAGGTCCTTAAAGAAGCCCAGCTAACCAGCTAATTAGGAATGTATAAATTACTCGAATGTTGAGGCTCGATTTTGAACAGGTCTCATCACCGCTAGATAGATGCTGGCAATAGTACAACAGCATTAGAAACGGTCGACAGTGAGGGTGCATTTATGACAGAAAAGCTATCTACACAAAAAGTTTTCTGTTGGAGAAGTCACGATTCGAAGTCGTAAAATATTGAAGATGCTCACCTCATTGGTCGGCTTTCTATGGAACGCATCCGGTGAGAAGCCATCTGCATGATCGCTAACCATCCGAAGCGCCTTTTGGAATGCCTCTTCGAACGACCTACCAATGCCCATCACCTCACCCACGGATTTCATCGAGCTACCAATCTACAAGTACTGCACTCAAGCCATATCAAAAACTAAGCGTATGTCAAAAAAGCGTACCTGCTGGCTAACTCGGGCAAATTTGCCGAGATCCCATCTAGGTATTTTCACTACGCAGTAATCCAGCGATGGTTCGAAGCATGCCGTTGTGGTACCTACAATAATACAAAAATACATATTGACATCGAATATTTTCCAATTACTTCTGTCTCCCATTGCATTTCTCTGGCCACATCCTTACCTGTGACACTGTTCCTTATGACTGGGAGTTTCTGGCCGAGTGCCAACTTCGCAGCCACATAAGCTAGCGGGTATCCGGTTGCCTTGGAGGCCAACGCAGACGATCGAGATAGTCTGGCGTTCACTTCGATGATGTAGTACTGAAAGGGATGGAGCGATCGTGCTTGTACAAGAGCCCAGATACTTTAAGCCTCCGTGAGGGTAAGAAAACGTACCGTGTGCGAAAACGGATCCAAGGCATACTGTATATTACATTCTCCGACAATTCCTAGGTGGCGGATGACTTTGATTGCACATGTTCGCAACATATTGTACTCCTTGTTGGACAAGGTTTGAGATGGAGCTACCTTGAATTGGGCTAGTACATACGAACGGTGACTAGTACGAGAAGAAATCTTCTTATTTATAAAAAAGATCTTAACGTCTCAAGTCGGATAACCCGACTTACTTACAGACTTAACCGTCGTTAGACCAAAGACATGAACGCCATACCTCATGTCAGAAAATCATTAAAGCCAACTGTGGAAGAAAAACGAATGCGTGGCTCAATCCAGCCGTATCCGAAGACACAGCTATTGCTAAGTAATACAAAATACAATCATTTCAAAACTTACCACGACAGATTCTCCGGTGTGAATACCTAGCGGATCGATATTTTCCATATTACAAACAGTAATGCAATTATCGTATGCATCACGAACCACTTCATATTCGACCTACATGAGGAAATATCGCAAATACAATAAATACTAAACGTTTCAAATAAGAAACTCATGTAGTTGCACCTCTTTCCATCCTTTGAGACTTTTGTCGATCAGCACCTGATCTGAATGGGCCAGTGCCTGTTGTGCGATCGCTACAAGCTCGGAGCGGTTCTCAGCAAAACCTGAACCAAGGCCTCCCAGAGCAAAAGCGGCTCGAACTAGTACTGGATAACCGATCTGAAACTATCTACTTGGAGCTTTGACAGCTAAAAAACAAGCATACAGTAACTGTAACAAGTTCAGTAGTCCCGAAAAATCATAAAACTTCTTCAACACACCTTCTCAGCTGCCTCTATAGCGCCTTGTAAAGTGGTAGCGGCATGGCTTGGTGCCACCTGTTCACCTATACTAATCACCTCCTTATTGAATCGGTCGCGGTCTTCCGTATTCATGATGGTTTCGATTGGTGTGCCCAGTACCTAAACCATCGATACCTTGGAAGTCTAGCTATGAAGAGAGCATATGAAAAAGAAAAAGCCTCCCAAACTGTATTTACAAATCCAGTTTCGTCGTGCATGATCCGATATTGATTATAGCGAGCGCAAAATCAATATCCTCACCGGAATACGCATAGAGTCTTTTGATGAATGTTGATATAATGACTTAAGGCTCACCTCAACATCGTAACTCTCAAAAACGCCATCCTTATAAAGGTCAATGGCGCAGTTAAGCGCAGTCTGGCCACCGAAGGTAACCAGTATGCCAGTTGGACGTTCCTTTTTGATCACCTTAAAAGCGTAGGAGGTTAGTGGGAATAAATTGGCAATACAGGAGCATTAGCTTTTAAACTTACATCAGTGACATATTCCTTTGTAATCGGTAAGAAATAGGTGAAATCCGCGAAACCTTTCGACGTTTGTACAGTTGCCACATTCGGATTGATTAGTACAGTACGAACTCCTTCCTCTTTCAACGCTTTCAGCGCCTATAAAGCATAGACACATCCAGTCTTTCGGCCATGGAGCAGAGAATTTCTTATATCCCGAAGATAAAAGACTAATCGCTTCAGAGCAGTTGTCAATGAAAGTAGAGGACCAACCTGAGCTCCTGAGTAGTCAAACTCTCCGGCTTGCCCAATCGTTAGACCTCCAGAACCGAGAACGAGTACTTTTCGCTGTTTACGTATTTGGTAACTTGAATCGTAGCGTATATAAGACGTGAGCAACTCATCCACACTGAAAGGATGATCAGTCAGAACGATCTCGTCATTGAAAAAAGAATAAAAAGAAAAAGTAAGATATCTCCAAGCTCAGTTTATGCCAAACTCTGCTTAGGCTAACTCTTCCCGGGATAAAGAGCATAGTGCCCAGGAAGCACAAGTACGAGTTCGAGTTACGTCCGACGCCGAAGTTTTACTTACAAGCTGCCATCCTTGTGAGCTTTTCCCATATACTTTTACACACTCACGTGCAATCGGGATAGCTAGGCCTATGCTATGGACGAAAATAAAGCAGTGGTGCCGTTACTGTGAATACTCTTGGGGATCGAATTAAATAGTAGCTTGGATCCCGAACGGAAACTGATCTTTTCAGAAAGATTAATTCACAAAAGTCATTGTGTTGATGTCTTCCTAAGAACACTTACCTGCAATGCATTCCCTTTTTCACTAAATCGATGGCTTCGGCGAATACGTTGAAGAGGAATTCACAATCAGCTGGACCGCCGGTGTGTTCCGGATGGAACTGTACACTGCAAATTTGAGGGATTTGAGGAGAATCACTTCAAAAGTGTTCTAAATCATACCTGAAGAACGGCTTCGACTCGTGCACAATACCTTCATTTGTGCCGTCATTTTCGTTTGTGAAAAGCGGCTGCCAACCGGCTGGTAACGTCTTCGGGTCAACAGCAAAGCCATGATTCTGTGACGTGATGAAACAACGTCCTGTGGCTTCATGAGTGCAAGGTTGATTATGACCTCGATTACCGTATCTAGATATCAATAACTATTTATTCCGAAATAAATAGAATTGTAAGGCAAAGTATATGCAGGAAAGTGGAAATAAGCAAAAAAAAAGAACTCACTTGAGCTTGTATGTCTGAGCTCCAGCAGCGCGTGCTAGCAATTGATGACCAAGACAGATACCAAACACGGGTTTTGTGGTCTTCCCCAAAAGTTCAGTCAGCCGATCAATCAAAAGAGAGCACTTTTCTGGATCGCCTGGGCCATTGGAGAGGAACAATCCGTCAAATGCTGCAATGCTCATGTATTAATGATTATGAAACCTCAAATGGTCTATCATAAGGCTACTCAGAGATAAGGAAAGTTGTGCGTCCACTCGAACGCATGCATTCTGGAGAGAGTAATTAAGCGGCTGTAAGGTCAGGCAAATTAGTATGCAAGACAATGTTCGTGGCTTGCTTGCAGCACAGAATTCGCAAAAGGGTACCTATTAACTGTTTCATTTTGCCCACCAAGTGTTTTGCTACAGCTTAAACTCACTGCTGATGGATAGGATCTTACAACTAGAGAAGAAAACCGAGCAAGAAGCTTTGTTGTAACAAAACTCGCCCTTACCTTCGTTTTCGAATCGATAATCCCATGGTACAACTTTCACGCGCATGCCTCGTTCCACCATACACCGAATTTGGTTATTCTTCATTCCACAGTCCACTGCCAGAACTGTGTTTTTACCAGAACCAAATGTCTGAGGCATCTAAAAGAAAGGCAGGCATTTCTGAGGGCGATAGAAGCTCTCAGGAAATCATGTAAAGCTAATCAGTCATACCTTTCGTGAGACGGCTGCAACCAAATTGTTTTCATTAATGTCGCGAAAAGCATACTTCAAAGGCTCGTCGCCTTCAATCACTATCTGCAAGTCATCGTTGATTGACATCAATTCACAATGAACTCTCTTTCAAGTTTCTTAGGAGATTACCTTGGCCTTCATAGTTCCTACTTCTCTAATCTTCTTTGTGAGCTTCCTAACGTCGATTCCTGCCAAACCTGGAACACCAGCTCTTCGTAAAAACGAGCTGAGAGATTCTAAGGCTTTCCAGTGACTGTGCTCATTTTCTGGACAAATCCTGAAAGTTACCAGTCTGCTTTTTTCTGGGTAAGAAACAGTAGATTATGGAATGCATTCAACATATCAACATCAATCGATGTTTTCTTCTTCAACTTTTTGCATTTGGTGAAACGAAATCGCTATGGGTGATACCATTATGACAATTTTGCTTCAACGTTCCTATCGATACCATCCAGTTGAGGGGAATTCGATGGAATTCGAAAATTATAAACAAAGCTTGATATAAAACTTTTCACATAAACTCGGACCAGTTATTTCTACCAGAAGTACAAAAGCTTAGAAAAACTCTGGTTCCAGACTCACTTATCCACAATCAACGCAGCTGGCCAGACACGATTGCTCTCGAAATGCATGGGCAATCCCAGTGAATCTGTTTCCGATTGACTTGGAACTCCATAGTTTCCAATAATAGGGTATGTTAACACGAGAAGTTGTTCGGCATAACTAGGATCAGTTAGCGATTCTACATAGCCGACCATACCGGTTTGGAAAACTAAAAAAGTAGAACTTTTCTAAATATCGTACAGATTTTATGCGAAACCAAAGAAAACCAACGCACAAAATAAAAGAGCGTTTTTCTCAGCAAGAAACCTAACTTGTACTCACCAATTTCACCAACAACACTTTTGGTGGCACCGAAAAGATGGCCCGAGAACTGCGATCCATCGCACAAATACAGTGTTGCCTGCATGGTCTGCCAGGACATTGATAGCGATGAATTCTGCAAAAGGAAATTACTTTAAAAAAAGTGAAAGGGAGGTCCAGGCTTCCTCAAGGACCTTCTTAAGGAAGAAAAGGGAAAACTATCAAGTGTGCATGAAAAAAGGCTTCCCATGGTGCTACATTGCAACTGCTACATTTGCAACTATTGCTACTATATTTGGAGAAAATATAGGATGTTGGAAATGCAGACCAGGATAGAACTGCACAAAAGTTCCGTACGGATTCGACAAGATTGATCGATCTTGATGGAAGTACAAAAGTTGAATTAAAAAGCTAAAAGTGGAACCACCCAATGAAAACATAAGTGGAACAGAATGATATCTCCAAATCACTCCACTCGAATCTGTGTGAAATCTATCTGGAAATTGCGGTGTTAAGCGGAAATCGACATCACACTGCCAGACGTAAAATAAATCTACTCCAATCCATCTACAAAGAAGCTCTCCGAAATATTAAGGGCAACGGAGTTTATCTATAAAACCTGGTGGAAATCGAATAATCAAAGAAAATTTTTTAATGATAACAAGTTAAGGGAGAGTGAGTTATTTGTTTACGTTTTAGTTGAAAAAGGTAACATGTGGTAAAGAAGCTGAATTCGGGAAAAAAAA